GGCGGCGCTGGGGCCGGTGCCGGGGCCCGGCGCTTCCCGTCTCCTCCGGGAGATGTGTGTGCTGCAGCCTTTCTTTGCTCATTTAATCAAAATGGACGTTCTGGGAATTGCGGAATAGCCGGACGCTGTGCTCGGTAGGGTTCGCGGGATACACGGTAAAAATAAAGCCCACCCAAAAATATAGCTCGGGTAAATGAGATGCTAGCATCAGCCAAGTGGACTAGATGAATCCCGTATGGATAGGGAAGATAACTCATTTAATCAAAATGGACGTTCTGGGAATTGCGGAATAGCCGGACGCTGTGCTCGGTAGGGTTCGCGGGATACACGGTAAAAATAAAGCCCACCCAAAAATATAGCTCGGGTAAATGAGATGCTAGCATCAGCCAAGTGGACTAGATGAATCCCGTATGGATAGGAAAGATAAAGAGGGAAGAGATCGACTGTTTACTGCGTTGCCAGAAACCTGAGGGTGTGGGACAGTCCTGCCCTGTCTGCTAATGGGCGTAAAATAAGGAGACGTTCCCACAGATTGGCCTGGCAGCGCATGATAAGAAAGGCTGTTACAGTCTATACTGACACTCTAGAAGACAAGTTACATGGTAATTAGGCACCTCGGCTAAGCAGGCTATAAAGAGGAGACATGACTATTAAAAACCAAGAGTTCACCTGCTGGAAGCATGCCTGAAGGAGAAGGATCCATTGTTAACACTGCCGTGGCTTCATAGACTTAGCAAGAATTCTAAATACTAAGTAGCAGAAGCTCTTTGTGCTTCCATGAAGCAGCTGTAAACCAACTAAAAAAACAGAAAAAGCATACAAACTAGCTCTGTGGTCATAGATCTCTTAAATTTCTTCTTAAAATGTGTCATTATGAAGAAAAAGGCCTAGAAAAAAAAGTCCAGTGTTTTCATCATATATATTTACATTTAAAACTCTTAGCTGTATTACTATGCATCAATATGTTGGTTTAATTTATCCATGCCAGCAAACTTGATGTTTGCTTATCTTCCACTCTGTGTAAGTAAAAGCTTTTATTTTTGAGATTTTAATGGGCCAAAAATCCAAATATAACAACAATTCCTTCTTCATCAGACCTACTTGTGTGCAAATCTACAAATACCAGCCTAAAGAAGCCAAACACAGGAAGTGAGAGATGTTTACCACATGCCATAGAAATGACCAATGCAGCTGTGGAGAACCAGTTACTAAACAGAATTTATTCTAAGCAGCAATTCTAATACATACTGAGATAATAGGTAGTGTATATACAAGGAATGATCATAATACACTGTATTTACAAAATTTTAAACCCTCAATGATGCAACCACCTGATGGTGTGAAAGAGTATTGCCCTCAAATGCACGCAGCCAACTGTACTCCCTTTAAACTGCAAAAATACAACCATTATGAAGTTTTCTGACGAAAACATACATTTAAATGATCGTATTTTAAAAAGGCTAAGATACCTGCATTTCACAGTCTTAAAAGAGTGCAGGATTTTTTTCCCCCTGCTTTTGCACATTAGCAATGGCTGGCTAGAACATTGAAGAAGTGAAAAACTTCATCTTTATCCATCACAGCCACTTCAGTTGAGCATTCAGTACATAATACTGGATGATACACTTCCTCCTCTTCTTGATTTGATTGTTTAGAGGTAGTTTCTTTGCTGTGCTTCATCTTCTTACTTCTGCTCTTTACTTTCTTTCTGTATTTCAGAATCTCCTCTTTATTAACGGTGCAGTTCATCACAAACATTGCTCTATATTGTGTTTTGTAAGATTCATGTCTGTTGAGAAGGAAAGAAAAGTCAAGTCATACCATTGGTAAAACTCTGCTTCCAAGAAATCTGTTACCATCACTGGAAATGTATTGACACATCACCCTTGAAAAAGCATGTCTATAATAAAATATAAAATGTATTTTCAGCTGTCATCGGTGTAACAGCTGCACAGCTGGAGTACATAGCAAATTCAGGTCTGCACACAGCACCCTTCAGGCTGCAGGGTTTTACAGTAGCCTAAACCAATGTCACAGGTGGCTGCAGAAGTCTTATCTCAAATGCTAGCTTTACAGCTTGTTCTGTGCTGAGCTATTTCAGTTTATCAAAACCACAGGGGATCAGTCTGACAATAAAAATGGACAGTTTTCCATCTGATTAGCAAATGGAAATTTGTAACTATAGCACAGAGTCAAGGAATACCAACAGCCAGCAAAGGGAAGATAGTGAGAAACAGCACCCACTACTTAAGATTATTACAGGCTGCCATGAAATTTTACCCTCAACCACCAAAAGTACTCAGTAAATGAGAGGTAGTTTATTCCATATTTTACATGATGTCTTTTGCTTTTCTTCTCAGTTTGAGAGTCCTTGAGCTGGTTTAGCGCTGGTTAGTAGGACTAAATAGGTTTGCTGTGCAGTCAGACACTGGTGAGCTGCAACACACACTAGAGATTCTCACCTAAATGCTTTCCAGGCACTTTTTCATGTAAGTATCCTCAAATCAAAACTGCTAAGACTCAAGCCAAGTAAGACTACACTATATTGGATTTGCTTAATTCTCCCCTAAACAAGGCACTTGCACATAAAAATAATAGTTAACCTGGAATAATTCCATGCCTCTAAACATAAAGCCAACATATACAAAAAAACAAACAACAGAAAAATAAACACAACACAAATGAACACCCACAACTCACTCTGAACTTTATTTAGTCTCCGTGAAATGATTTTTTTGTATGTTACTTTTTCTACTACGCTCTACTGCTCTTCTTTATCTCCACGTTGCAGGTTAAGCTGATCATCTTTCTGACAAACCAGCATTCACCCCTAAATTTGATTCACATGTACCTGCCAGCTCCACCTGGCAAGACTGACTCTATGATATCAATCGATCCAACGGAATGCACTAAAAATACAACTGACCAAGAAAAAGACCTTGCACAAAGATCCCATAATGTTCACCAGTTACCTCTGACAGTCCAAGCATAACGTTGTCATGCAAGCTGGGCAATTCAAAACAGCATCACTGTTTGGAACAGCTGAGGGCCTGGTCTGCTGCTGCAGATGCGCTCTCCTTTGATTGCGGTACCTACCCAGCCAAGAAGGGAGGGAGGAGACAAAAAGTGAAATTATGTGCCCTTGTTGTCAGATATATCAATTCAAACTCCAAACCTTTTTTATATTAAAAGACACCAATAAATGTCTCTTTCTGGACACCTTCTGCACTAACTCAAAGTACATAAATAAATACACAGGGGGAAAAACACATACCCATATGTCTGTTAACTTTGGACAGAGGATTCTTATTTGGAGAAAAAAAATACCTCTAGCATGAGAATTTGTGACTAATAACCCTCTCCTCTAACAAGACAGTTGTCTCAAGTGCAGTGTCTACAGTCCACACACATGAATGTTATCCTTTTCAACATATTTACATGGATAATTTTACTTCTGCAGCAGGAACCACTTTTCTACTTCACCCATCAAAAAACCCTCTGTAAAGCAGCTTTGTGCTGTTCCTGTATTATCTGAACATTTTGTGGCTTCCTAAATGCAAAATTTTCCAAAACCACAAATAAAATATTTAGCAGAAACAGATATTAGTTTAGCAATAAAAGTAACATTGTGCATTAAGGATTTGAATGTGAATCTTACAACCTTTTCATCCTCAATATTGTTTAGATGAGATCGACAGACAAAACTGGGCTTACTGAACTAGGAAGCTGCAATTTTTTAAAACTGCAAGCTTTAGAATCGTGACATTTCAAAGGTTCAACTTCCATTACATACATGTAAAAATTGTACATACTTTTAAATGTCTATGCTGAGCATTCTAAACTATATCCACCATATGCATGTAAATTTTCCCTTTTATGTTAAGCATCCTACAATTCAAATATTTATAGTCTCTTACCCCCTCCTCTGTGAGTCTACCCACTCTTGGTCTCTCCTGTCTTCTTCTGGGTCATATAGCAGTTCATCATTGGAAAGAATCCGACGTTGCTGATGTTTTCTGTTTTTCCGGACATCCTGTGGACCTGGAAAGATTTGTGCAAGTACATGTTACATCCATCACACATACGATGACTTTCCGCTTAAATAATCAAAATACCAGTTTTGCAATTTCCCCTTTTCCATACTCACAATAGATCTAAACTAAAACATAAACGTCTAGTTTGTCCCTCCTCCAAATGCACCACCCCAAAGTATTACAGCATCTGACATACACTGGGAGACATCACAAAGTTGGGGGAACTACAGTGAGATGATACAAGGTGGTAAGTCCCCCTAAAAGGCTGCCTTCAGAACAGCCTCTTAATCCCCCAAGAGGATACACTACAGGATCTGAGAGAGAGTGCTACTGTAAAGATGTCCTCCTCTCCTCAGCCATTTACCTATTTTATCTTCATCTTCTGAGTCAGAATCAAAGTAAATGTCATCATAGTATTTAGAAGTGCTGGCAGTTCCAGTCTGCCCAGTATCTGAGGAAGTACCTATGTGTGAAATTAAAGAGAAATATGTTTAAGAACACCCTGCCAAAAGGACAACAAGGATACAGCCCAGAACAAACCTCAATCTTCAAGTTACTCCATGCAGAAGTACTCTACTTCATCTAGGTGAGTTTAGTAACAGCTCTCCCAATTTATTTCCACATCCTGATGACCCAGTGCTTCTCTTACATAATTTACAGAGATAAGTTGCTGACTCCTTCCAAGATGAACCTCAGGTACAGCTCAAAGGAAAGCTTCTCCCAAGGTACACTCCCTTTAGGCATAGAGGATACCACACCAAATCTGCCTGCCTCTGTCCAACATCATCCACTATACCTCAAAAACTCCACAAATCTTCAGTCATGTGGAAGAAAGATCCTGTTTCACAAACTCTGATTACAATAAAATACACTAAAAAATCCCCCAAAATTTCAGAGCCACAGCAAAAAAAGACCACGATGAATTGCCAAGCACATCTGTCATAGCTGGGCGGCACCAAAATCCTATTCTGTGCTGGATGGATGCAGTGGTGTAACCATCACTACATCTTCTTAATTGCACAACTAAAACCTACAGATCAGATTTGCCCACTAACACAGATAAAACTATTAAAGCTGCTGAATACAGAGTGGAGTCCCCACGTTAAAGTGAATATCATGTTGATTCTCCAGGAATCACTTTGCTAGGTGTTTGGTGATAAGTAAAAAGTGCTTTTCAAATGCACAAACAACCCATCTGCTCCACCCATGGTACACAAACACCAAACTAAATATATCTTTAGCACAGTTTTACTATTTGAGGGTACATGTAATTATAAGCAGGTAAGGTATGAAGAGATCTAGACTTTTTCCCCCAACTAACTTCAGATCTCGATCTACCACATTACTCCCTTCTTCAAGAAAAGGGCTCCACATGTTGATAGCATCTACAGCCACCAGACAAAGTACAAGAGCCTTCTCAAGAGATGTCTATATACAGGTAGAAAAACAACTTAAAACAAAAGTTATACAGATATTGGAAAAAAGGGGACTGAGCCAACTAAACAGAACTCACGTTGAAGCAGTTCAGAAACACCAAAATCCGTCTCAGAAAAGATGAAACTAAAGAGTTCACTGAAGTGGCACCTGGTAACCACTTCTGCAGCAGCAACTGGCCATTTTTAAATGCTCTGCAGGCTTCAAACAGCCTTTGACTGCCACCAGACAAACCTCCAGCCACAAGAATAATCAATGAACTTCGCACTTTAACTGGACACCACTTAACATGATTTCACATGCGAGGTGTTAAACGCAATGTACCTGTTTCTGGTGAGGCCCACGTGCCTTCCATGGTCCTCATGGTGGTGCTCAGCTCCGCATCCATCTCCTTTTGGAACTCATCGTCACTGGAAGACTCGCTCTCCCCAGTCAGGCACTCCCGGATCAGCTTCCGCTTCTGGTCAGGGGTGCCGTGCAGGAGCACGTCCACCTCGTCCTCCGAGCTGCGGACGCAAGGTTACACACCTGAGGATGCTCAGAGCACGGACCGAGTCATTCGGAGAACGAGCATCCGAGCTGTGTGGATGCACTGGGAAGCACTCATTCGTGTGGTTACGGGAAACGTATTTATTAAAGTGTTAGGTGAGCTTGTTGGTGTTAAAACAAATTTTAAGGCGGACTCAGCCGCCAGCCCGCC